GACAGCATATGTAAGCAAAATTTGAAAATGGGCCTACTATTTTAATTGCCAAAATAAAGGGGAATAAAAAAAGCATATTAGTTTTCCAAAATGCTGCTGTTTTTTTCCCCCAAAATTATTTTAATAAAGTAGGTGCTGTTAATTAATATTATGCATTATTATTATCAATGCTATGGTAAAAGTCTACAGTTAAAAATCGAGCAGTCTTTCAGTTTCTTTCAACAACTTATAATTTCAACATAGATGGCTGCTTCTGTGCGAAGCAATGCATGCTTTTAAAAGAGGTTTTAGAGCAGTGCTTTCAATAGAGGACAAAATATTTTTTTTTTTTTTTGCATAATGTTGTATTCCTACAGAAATTTTACCAGTTTTTTCTGTTACTAACAGATCCACATGCACATATTTTAGTATTGAATTTGAGACAAAAATAGAACTAATATGTAATGGAAAGAATGCTATCAAAAATGGCAACGTTGCTTGACTGAAAGATTATTATGAATATGATTGCCAGAGTTTGATGCATTTTGAAAATTTGGCTACTTTTATACCTTTAAAAAAGTGTTGAATTTGAAAAATGATGAAACATTAAATTATAGTGAATTTTCAAAAATAATGTTGGTCTTCATAATGATTTCTCATAGCAGTTTGGGGTATGGGAGAATTTTCAGTGTTTCTATTGGAACCAGGACATTGGAACAAAACTTTCATTCTTGCATAATTTTATCATTTTAAAAACTTTCTTGTTGAAGAAAATCCCCCTTTGTTTAAAAAAAAAAAAAAGAGAGAGAGAGGAAAAGAGATTGGTAAGTTTGCAGTTGTGAAATTGCAAACAGAATAAAATTATGTAATAAATAAAAATTGTTTCAGGCAAGACTGAGTTTAATTTGTAATATATTCCTTTCGATTGAGTAAACGTAATGGCTAATGTTTCATCAAGATGTTAACTGATGTGATTAAAAAATAGAGACTTTTTAATAAAGCTGTTACAGTACAAAGTCCGTAAATCCGGACTCGTCGGGACTTTGGCGATTCCGGATTATAGATCATCAATTTAAATCTGGTAAGATGGCATGCAGAAATTATACAGTAAAAATATGAAACTGTAATTTATGAAATAAAGGTCAATTATGATCTAAAGGGTATGAAAATTTACAAAAAAAAACTTAATATTTATTTGTTTACTTTATTAAACATTTCTTTCAATGTAAGTTGTTTAAGTTGCTTCGTTTTGTGTGCTAATACTATCTATGAACAGACATAATTTCTTGTTCAGTTACAAAGTTCCACTGTTCAAGTCCTGTAATTGCTATGTCAAGAATACCGACTTGTCAAATGAAATTTTTTCGTTTTCAATAACCTCTCTTACTTTCTTCACAATCGGAAGCAGTATTTTCTGGATGTCGAACCCCCTACTACAGATTTTGCCGTCCGTTGATTGATGATTGGGACATTGTCGTCGCAATGAAAAACTTCTGTTATATCATCTTCATTTATTACTGCTTCTCCACATTTCTTTATAAAATCCAATAACTGGAAAATTTCACCTTTAGTTTGCGATGTCCGAAAACCTTCAAATTCGCGGCTATCATCTTCATTAACATTAATTGAAATGCCTTAAAATCAGTAAAGATAATTAAAGCCTGACTCATATCGTCCATTATACATTAAACAGGCATGCCTAAACGCATTACGCGCATGCGTAAAGCATACAAAAAAAAAAGTTTGATTTTTTTTGGTTTGAGGTTTGGATTATAGATCATTCCGGATAATGGACGTCCGGATTACGGACTTTGTACTGTATTTGATATTTTAATTTATAAGCTTGAATTATGTATTTGTGATGATGTAGCCCTATCTAGGTTGTTGTTAAAAATCGATTGTCTCGAATCTTTTGCAATTAATTTTAACAAAAATATTCTGTAAAAGTGCATTACAGAACTACATTTGGGAATTTGCATATAGTTATGTTTTTTAAATGTATGTTTGAGCATTCGCATGTAGTATGTTGTTTAAACTGTCATTACTCTTAACTAAGTAATGTAAAAGAACTAGACATTTCTGTTATATTCCGGATAGAGTTTTATGTTGCATGCTGTTGTGAAATATGCCTATGAAAGGAGATTATGCAGAAGCTCTTTGAAATGTAAATAAAATAACTTGCAAAGCAAAGTTGTTCACAGATAAGTCTTTATAATAGAAGCTTCTTGTATCTAATTTTGTGAAATAAATTTTGCATAAATTTAAATGAGTTTTTTGTACATATGTATAGACATTATGATGCAGACATGCATTTCTGTGCTGTTAGATGTATGGCTGTAAGGAAGAGGAGGAGTAAATTTTCCACAGTTACAGATATGCTGTAGAACTTGAAATTCCTACATATGGGTATTATTATAAATGCCTAGATTCTTTGCTTTGGGATCCCTTCTCAAAGAGCAAGTGAATTTTCGTAATTCTTCATTTGACAGATTTCTGTATTCAGCTAACATATCCAAGCATCTAGATTCAGTAATTCGTAATGTTTAGTTCAAAAGAGTATCCATAGTGGATAATATGCTGGTCTTATTTTTAGTGAATATTGAGTTTCAGTTAAAAAATAGATTTTCATAGTAATCTAGTTTTAAAAGTAAGTGCTTCTTTGTTTTAATTCTGGAGGGAGAGGAGGAATATTGTAAACAGAATGATTGAAGAAAATCTACCTTGCACTCAGGTAACTGGAGATATTTTATGATTAAAATGTGTTGGTATTTGAGGGAGGTTTTTTTTTATTGTAGAATATGTATTCATCTGCTCAAGGATGTAATTTAATCAAAATGTTTTCTTTTTGTCAAAAATAGAAATTTTTTATATGCATTATTATGAACTTACTCAGTCCATATTCGTGTTGCATAGAGCTAAAATTGTGCACAAGAACCCTGAAAGTGGTGAATTGCATAATTTCGTTCTTTATGTGAGCAAAAAAACTTGCTGAGTTATTTATGTAATGTATTGAAATGTACCTTATTGCACATATTCTCTTAGAAGAATCTGTCTAATAAATCAAGGTTTTTAAATTTTTTATGTACATTTCAGGAAGACACACTTGGAGAAATTAGGACTGTAGAAAGTGAAGCAGCTGCATATTTTGATCAGATATCTCGATATTTCCTTACACGTGGAAAAATAGTGTCTAAAGTAGCTAAATATCCTCATGTTGTAAGTGTTTAGCTTTTCTTCCTTTCACTGCTGTATTTAATTTAAATCTTAGAAACTCCATCTGTAATTTATTATTGTGAGCATGTTTTGTTCTTTTCTTCTAGGATGATTTTCGACGAACAGTCCAAGAACTAGATGAGAAAGAATTTCTTAGCATGCGCCTTATAATCTGTGAATTAAGAAATCATTATGTAAGATATTTTAATTGCTACAATAATTTTTAAAGTCTAATTACCTATGCCAGTTTCTACAGTTATCCTTATGCTGCTTTCCAAGTATATTAATTATACCAGCAATATTTCACAGGGTTCGTAGCGGTCCTTACAAGTGTTTATAAGTTCTTATATTTAAAAATAAAATATAAAAGCCCTTATAAATGCTTACTTTTTCTCGAAAGCGCTTATTTTTTTTAGAGCCTCTTTTTTTTTTTTTTTTTTTTTTTTTTGTACCAAAGCCGAAACTAAATAAACAACTTTTCTTCCTTATATGGATCGTCAGATGGTGAATCATATTCCCAGAAATAGCTTTTCGCCCCTTTCTGTGCAGTAACATAACCTTTGGTGTGCGCGAATACAGACAGATGTATGTCATTCTATTGATCGAAGAATTGGGAAAGTGGTAAAAATTCTGGTACATTCCGTATTCTTTTGCTCCCACCCAATACTACACACGTTTGGATTTCTATCAAGATTTTAATAATTTATATTCTCGTTCCACGTGGTCAGTTCATATTCACATTTATTATGATCGGTATGCTTATATTATGAGCATATGTATGAATATTTATTATATATTTACACTTAAAAAATGGGTGTGTTTTAACAAAGATTAGTTTTCTAAGGAGTAATATTTGGAATGATAAAAGTGAAAGTAATAGAATAGTCAAAATATTTTTTTTCCTCAATGCATTATACAGTACGGAAGTTGAGTGTTCTCCCCTTTCTTCGCAAATTCTCGAATATTGAAACCATTACAGTTTGCAAGCAAAACCTTTTTTTTTGGGGGGGGGCGGATTAGTTTTCAGTTCCATTGGGCTATTTTTTATATAATGCATATATCGAAATGTCAAAAGCATTGTTTAGCTGAAAAAAATCTAAAGAATGGCTACAATCTACCCCCTTTCCTCTTTTATCAGTTACACTCGACCATCCGGAATTTTCAGATATTCGGCAGTTTCCAAGTATGCCGGTTAGTTAAGCTTTTACTGTTAAAGGATGACTGCATGAAGCAATTTCCAGTCTTCTGATTTCAGAAAAGTTTCCTTTTTTTTTTTTTTTTTTTTTTTTTTTTTTTTTACTTAAATTCCTTTGCTTGCAATATCTGTTAAGGGAAAACTGTTATACAGTGAAAATTTAGAATTGTATTTATTTTGGGGTGCTAAACGAATACAATAAATATGGCTTATTATTTATTTTATCTGTTTTGAACTGAAATTCCATCATTAAATCTTGTAATATAGTTTAGTTCTGCATAGTTTTTTCCTTTTCATTGTAAACTAGTTCTGTAAATTGAAATGTTATTTAAAATTTTAAAAAAAAAATAATGTAATTGTTTTCCATGGATGAGTAATGCTCATTCTCTCTTAACACTGAATTTCTCTTATTTTAAATTCCAAGTCTAATTTTTCTTTTAAGGTTATGCAGTTATGTATAATGTAATTATACAGATGCTTAATTTTTCCCTTAAAATGTGCTTGAGAAGTGCTTATTTTATGAACTGAAATGTGGCTACGAATCCTGTTTCATTCTAAGTCAGTAAATAATTTCATTATTATGTATTACATTTAATAGATTTTGTCATCAAGTTTAATTGATACACATTAGTAAATTGAAAGTATGATTTGATGTACTGACATATTATTTACCCAAAATTCTGCTCTTATTAATTTTTTGGGGTCATGTAGTGAAAGTAGTATGAAGATGATCATAAAAGCAAAGAATCTAATTTAATCATTTATTCTGTTCTCAAATCTAATAGCTTGAATCATTTTGCGTATAGTTAAATATATATATCACTGTTAATCCCAATCTGATTTAATCCTTCTGCAAGAATAGTTTTCTTTATTCTGGTCATTATGTTCTTATGTTGTAGATATAAATTAATATAGAGCCCAAAACAGGATATTATAAAATTTACTTGTTAGTATAGTGCATAGTTCTCAAATTGTCCACCTTTGAGAACTGAGGAGACTTGGGCTTGGGGACGTGTTACTGGTCTGAGGAACAGTGAAGGGACATGATGAAAGAGGGCAGTTTGAACGTGTTTAAAAATTTTGATTATTTAAGCACTTTTGAAACAAATCCATGAACTGTACAAATATAACTATAGTGCTTCTTTCATCAGAAATGCACTAACTATATCATGTCAGTCATATCTTCTTACTAGTTGCTATTATGTAGTCTATGAGTTATGTATTTTAAAAATATGACCATATTTCTAGTGGTAATCAGAAAGCCCAAGTAGCATATTATTTCATTATATTTTCAATGTACTATGTTCGCTTTCATATATATACTAGGCCACATACAGTGGTGACCAAAATTGTGGACACATTTGGAAATTTTTATGTTTTTGAACTGTATGCTTATAGAAAAACGTTACATTTCACAAAATGCAAACTTATATGTATCATTTTAAAGAGAATTTATTACTGAATTCAATACAAAACACAAAATTCAATTATTTGCAATAGAAAAAAAGTTAAACAATAATAGTTATCGATATACATTAGATAGTGATGATTGCAGTGAGTTATCAGTACTTAGTAGGGTACCCTTTATTTTTTATTACAGCTTCACATCGACGTTTCATTGAGCTGACAAGAGTTCTAAGCTCTTCGTTTGTTATTACATGATGCCAGGAAATAAAGCCTAAATTAGTTCCCTTTTATTTGATGGGCGCATCATTCGGACAAGAGTTTTCAAATGGTGCCACAAATTTTCGATAGGTTTGAGGTCAGGACTGTTTCCTGGCCATGACAACAATTTAATGCTCTTTGTACGAAACCACTCTTTCGATATTTTGGCCGTGTGGCAAGGAGCAAAATCCTGCTGAAAAATAAACGAAGCATTGTTGGGAAAGAGATCTGATGGAAGGTAGAAGTTTTGGTTCTAGAATAGTGTCAATGTATTTTCTGGCATTCAGTGTCCCATCGATGACATAAAGGCGACCAATACCATCTGCTGACATGCATAACCAAATCATAACACTAACTGGGTTCTTCACAGTTGCTTGAATGCAGTCAGGATGTAGCTCTTCTCCTATTCTAAGTCTTACGTATTTTCACCCATCACTACCGAATAACGATATCTTAGTTTCATCACTCCATATAACTTGTGACCACTGATCATCTGTCCAGTTAATGTGTCCCTTGGCCCACTGTAGTTTTTTTTTTTTTTTTTTTTTTTTTTTTTTTTTTTTTTTTTTTTTTTTTTTTGTTGCTGAAAATTAAGTTAAGGCTTTTTTCGTGGAATTCTACCTCTCAGTCCAACATCTATTAATCTTCTCCTGATTGTTCTTGAACTAACAGAAACACCAGCATCATTCAGGTCACTTCTGATGGCTGCTGACCTTGCAGACAGACAGCAGTCCAGCTTAGCCAAAGCATTGAAAGCAAGTGCATTATGTTTAAAGTGAAATCTCTCTCTGGCACAAAATGGTGCAAAATCTCTATTTATAGGGGTGGTTACATACTATGCTAGAATATTCTCGAAAGTACTGGCCTAGGGGGGAGATCCTTAAATTGTGGAAAGTTAATTAGAGGTTGCTTGTTCGCTTAGAGGAAAGCCATTATGTTTTTTATATTTTACAAGATGTAAAATTAAACATTCGAGCATATTACATAACCACTCCTATAAATAGAGAATTCGTGCCATTTTGCATCAGAGAGAGAGACTGCTTTCTCCTTCTGCTGTTAAGACCTATGCTGCTGCTCTTCTCACCTCCCTCCCTTTCTTCAAATAATATGACGTAGTAAACTTAAAATTAGTCCTATTTTAGTAAATAATAATGATCTGCTGTTTGAATTGAATAAAGATGTGGAGCTATAAATTTAAATCCTTCTGTGTCATCATTGGATGCCGCCTTACACTTAACCAATGTCCAGAATTCTGATGTGCAGATTGCCAAGCTTCACTTATGTGCCCGACTGCCAAAATGTTACATATATATAGTGAATTCACTTCATATGCTGTGGTAGGAATTTGTGCATGTTCCATACTTTATTATCATGTTGTGAGAAATTTTTAATCATTATGATTCCCTTTCTGTGTTATATGAGAAGTTTAAATTGATAATATGAAACAATGCAAGTGGTTAAAATTTTATATTTTAAGTCATTGACTACAGATTACATTCAAGAGATACCTAATACAGTCAAAAGTCGTTAATCCGGACTCGTCGGGACTTCGGTGATTAAATCTGGTAAGATGGCATGCGGAAATTATAAAATTAAAAATACTACATTTAGTAAGGAATTGTAAGCCAAATAAAATAAAAACATCATCTGCCCTGAAGATAAGCATAGTGCTGACAGATCAACTTCCAATTCATTGCGCGTCGCAGCGTTTCCCCCCTCCCCCGCTGCATAGCAGCGTGAAATTGATAAACAGATTTCGGAATGGTTAGATAAACAAAGGATTATCCATTTTTTGCAGCAAATCCACTTTTTGTTTAATGGACTTCGAAACATACTTTCGCTTTGTAGATCCGTATTAGTATTTCGCTTACGTATTAGTAAATATATATCAGAAATTCTATTTGACATAATCGAAAGTTCAAGCTTACTTTTATAAAATTGCTCTAACAGTCTGCAAAAAATAATAAGCCGAATCCAATTCGAAGATTAAGGAACAACGCAATCTGCAACATTAACTGAATTACATAATCTTAGCTTAGCTTATACTGTCCGTCAGAGCGACGCATGCGCAGAAAGTTTGTAGTGTTGAAGTCCGGATTATGGGTGTCCAAATTAACGACTTTTGACTGTATATTGTTAGAAGGGTAAGGGAGATATAAGACAAATAAATCTTGAAAGGAATCATAATAAAATTAGGAAACTAATGAATGGTATAGGAATGCCTAAATTAGATTTTCTCAATTTATGCAAGTTTGTGTAAAACCTTTGAATGGATATGCTATGAATTTTTCTTTTTAATGTTCAGTCTGGTAATAAATGTTGTATAATAAAATAAAAGTAATGCACTATTATTTGATGTTAGAATTGCTGTTTTTCATTGTAAAAGTATGAATGAAGCATTAAACTTTAAAGTACTACTATTAATTCCTGGCAATTTTATTTATCCTTTTTTAAAACTCAAGATTAACGTCATCAGAAAGTACATTGTTTTAAAATTAATCCAGTTGTGGAAATATATATATATATCAAAAAGATTTCTTTATTCACCTAAAAATATTTCATGTAGTCAACTTGCAGTTCTAAACATAAAATTTTATGGACTAATTTTCAGCAGTGATCTGTAGCCTCCTTTATTTTGGTAATGAAAGGTAATTTTTTTAATGCATTATGAAAAATTTGAGCATTTGGTCTGAATTTGTAGTATACAGTTGGCATCAAATTTAAACGATAATGACAAATAAAATGTAACTGATACTTAATGAAAAATTATTAATAGAAATTTTTACAAAAGCATTAGCTAACATAAATTACAGTGTTTGTTTGGCAGTTGATCATTCGCAAAGTATTAAAATTAAAACTAAATATATAAAAATTGGAAAATGATGGAAAAATTAGGTTACCTCTTGTGTAAAAAAATTTTCCTTGATAGAGTGTATGAGCACCGCAGACAGATATGCATACCTCGCATCTTGATTTCATAAGCTTTACCGAAGTATTGATCAAGTCTTGTGGCATTGCCTGCCACTCTTCTAAATGCGCTTTTTTCAGTTGCTGAAGGGTCCAGGGACGAATTTGGCTCCCTGAGGCATTTCACACATGTTGAGTTGGGTGAGTAAGGTAAGGTGGCCAATCGAGTGTTATTTTGTGTTTGTAAGTATTCTAAAACCACATGTGCTCATGTGCTTGTCATCCATTAGCAAAAAATTTGAGCCAACATTTGTCATTATTCCTACCCAAACCATTAAACCTCGGTTGTGGAAACAGGATATTCATGTACAAGGGAAGGCAAGGCTGACGGTGTGGCATTATGGTTAGGAGAGTTTACTGCAGTACCAAAGGGCCCAGGTTCAAATCCCGGAGAATGCATGGATGTTTTGTAAATGTATAGTGGTATGGGAACTCTAAATATATGGCGAGCTGAAAATACTGTCGTGTGGTTTGGTGGTAGGGGAGAGGTGTGGGAGACCCCTGACCCTCCTCCCAAAGGTGCTGTCCCTCAAAATTAGTGTAAAAGTCCAACCTCCTTGAGACTCTGGCAACCAATCTTTCATGAAATAATGGACTCGACAACAACAAAAAAACAAGTAGGGTGTTCTTCTCTCCAGATCAAAACACATCTAAAATCACTGTTCAGATATATCTAGAGTCATAATTTAGGGTAAAATAACATGCCGAATAATGATTATTGGATAAAACAAACAACAAGAATCAGTATAATAGTAAATTTTGCGGGACTAGTTTTGATGGTTTAACTGCAGAACCATCTTTTTCAGCTACCTAAGTGCAAATGAATGAGATCAAGTACCACTTCGAATTAAGTACTACTATTACTTCGGATTTTCTTATGGTTTAAGTACTTCTATTACTTTGGTTTAAGTACTACTTCGATTTTAGTATGGAAATCATTTTGCCTTCCACCACACTTCAAATCATGTTATCTGACTAAACAGAAGTTATCTTCATTTTATTCGTCTTCCGTGCACTTCAAGTTTACTCCTCCAAACTGGCTTTTGATCAAAAACTAAATTATTTAAAAGCTATTGACAGGAGCTTTTCACCTAACATTGTAACCACATGATTAAAAATTCTCATCTCAATATATCAAAAAGGCACATTCTCATTTTAAGAGATTATAAGAATTCTGTTGTCATTCCTTTTTTTATTCCCCATCGATTAGCTATAAAATTGCATGTATTTTACAGAACTTTAACTTTCGGGCCTTTCTTTTTTTTCTTCCCTCCTGTCAACGAAATGCCCAGTTCCATACTTAAGGATCCCATTCTTGGTATGAATTCCTAGTGTATTTACTGGATTCCTTGCCAGTGGGGTTTAGTTTACATTGGTCAAACAAGCAAAAAGGAAAATCAGAAATCTTTTGTTGCTTAGCACTGTTGGTCCGAAAATCGCACTTTCCATTTTTCTGCAACCAAAATTATTCAAAAAACATCTTCCATTCATGAAAATAGATTTTTAGAAGCATTTCACATTCAAAAGAATCTTTTTGTTCTATTTCACGACATTAATTCCAGTCCATCTTGACCTTCAGCCTTTAAGGAAATTATGTTTTAGTTTTCTTGTCTCATCAATAGGTGGCACCCCAGTAGCTGAACTCCTATCCAGCTATTCTTATCTTATTCATTTGCACTTAGGCAGCTGAGGAAGATGGTTCTGTAGTTAAACATGAAAATAAGTCCTGCAAAATTTACAAATATTGCTCTGATTCTTGTTGTTTGACTTCCCCAATATATCTAGACTCATCAGTAAACAATACTAGGGACCAGTTGTCTTGACTTTATTGAACATGAAGATGGCGCTAGTTTAAACGAGCCCTTTTGGGAGCTGCAGTGAGTTGGGGCACAAACCATTAGTTATCTCACATACTGTCCAGTCTTATTAACTCTTAGTGCAGCATTAGAAAGGCCAATTTGAGTTCCTTTGGCAGCCGGAAGGTCTAAAACCAAGTCTCTTGTAGTTGCTTCGCTGTTTCTTCGAGCCAGCAATGGCAGAAAACTGTCTTCTGATGCAGTTATTGCTTTTAGTTGCTCTTGACCAGACTGTCTATCCACCGATCTAGACCTTTAAAGCAGCTCCAGATTTGATAACTTACCATATTTTTTCTTGTTGTCCTTTAATTTTGATGACCAATGTATTAACCAAGTTGTCATGTCTACCCAGTCTTATTATCGATCGACTTTTATGCATCTTTGTATCGTCTTAAATTTTTCTCAGTTAGGTTCATTGGTCAATTTGCTATAAAATATTCAAATGCTAAAAGAAGTATTTATGTATATCTGTTTTTATTGTTTTTCTCTCTAGGCCACACTGCATGATATGATAACGAAGAACTTGGAGAAAATCAAGAAACCTAGGACATCGAATGCAGACACTATGTATTAAAATTCTAGCATGGAACTTGGACATGCATTTTGTCTCAAACAAATGCTTGAGTAATATTCTAGAACTCTTCAAAATCACTTTTCTCTTTTCTGTTGCATAGCCATAGCTTTTGTCACCCTGTAGAAATTGTAGATGTATATAAGTTTTAAATTATGTTTTTTCTTTCCTTTGATTGGAGAGTGTCTTCTTTTTTACCAGAGTTTTGTTTGAGACCAAAACTTTTGTTTTAGTTCCAATAAACTCATTTTTTAAAAAAATCTATATTTATTTTCTTTGGAATATAACATAAATTTCTTTCATAATAAATTTTTTTAAAAAATCTAAAGAGGGTGTGAAGTATCGAAATCATTTATAAGTAATTTTTCTTTTAAAATTGAGGAATTTGTGTATGATAGCAGATCTGTTTTTCATTTGTCCCATATAATTAAAGTTCAGTATTCATTCAAAAATGCAGTTCATCTGAAAGCAGGTTTCTACTTAATACTTTTGCTGCCAGTTGTCTGAGGTTGTGTTGATAGTTATTTGACTTCATCGATAGTAGCCATATGCGACTTTCTTATTATAAGAAACATGATTTAAAAGAGAAACTGATTGCTAAATATCGCACTGTAAGAATTGGAGGCTCCCTTCAGCCCACTTGCACACTCGTTTCCCCATAGCTCAAAAGAAGGGGCCCCGTCTTTCCACAAATGAGGGGCAGCCAGTCGCCCCCAAAGAACAAACAAAATACTTAACTAAAAATAAGTAAGCAAAACAAACACAAAATCACAACATAGAACACTGATATCTAAAACCCATATAAATACAGAAGATTCCTACAAGTGCACTATTTTCATTAATAAACTTCATTAGAGCAATGGTGTATGATTTAAAAACTTTAAAATTAATGGTACTTGCATTAAAATCTGTCTAATAGGGGCTGTTAAAGTACAATCAACCACAAAATGCCTAGCATCATCAACCTGACAGCTATTACATAGTTTATTTTCCTGCAGATTAAATCGGTTGAAATAAAGCAGAAACCTACCATGTCCAGTTAAAACCCGATTAACGTCAATATTCATACATTTCATCTTATTCGTGATTTTAATTAGTTCCATAAATCCTTTCTTTTTAGGTGAAGAGAATCACTGTATTTTCCACTTGTTAATGTAAAACTCTTTCATTCTTTTAGTAGCAGTTTTCTTCGAACCTGTTACTTCAATAGCCATTGCATTGACATTTGAGACCACCTGCTTGGCCAGACTGCCGGCCCTATCGTTACCAATAAAGCCTATATGGGCTTTAACTCAATGTAGCTCAATATTTAAATATGAACTGAAAGTTTCTAAATGACTCTTAATTTCGACAGCTAATGGATTGAAATTCTCTGGGCAGGAGATTGCATGGAGAAGTGACAGGCAGTCAGTAAATATTGCACTGTATCACACTGATTGCTAAACCTTTGAATCTCAGATTTATAACCATGCAGCAGTGCACAGTTGGCACTGGAAGTTAAATTATTTCTCCAATACCTAATTATGTGTTGGTGCATCACATTTAAACATGACTTGAACTAAGTAATAATATGTGTTATTTTTGTAACTGTATATTAAACATATATACAAGGTGTGGCACAAAAAAAAGACTTAAGTGTGTAGCATTATAAAAAGAGTGGAGTTGGTAACAACTGTTTTGGTGACATCATGCCAGACATATCTTCTATCCGTGTGGCCAGTTTTGACTTAACTGACCACGCCATTGGGGGGGGGAGTTCTGCAGGAAAAATGTCTAATGTAAAAACTGAACAGCGAATCAACATCAAGTTTCTTGTGAAACTTCAGAAATCAGACATTGAGGAAGCATTTCAAAGGGGTGCCTAGCACATTCATCATGATTGAATGGGTTCCCAGTGGCCAAACTGTTAATCAGTGCTACTACATTGAAGTGGGAAAAAAAAAAGCCACAGTTGTAGAATGATGGATGGCTAGTACAATGCACCCACTCATACAGCCCTATCTGTCAAGCATTTTCTGACCTGCAATAACATTACTGTGATGGGGCATCCATGTGACTTTTTTTTTTTTTTTTTCCCCTCTTCCAGATAAAGCAATAATAGTAAAAAAAGCAATAGGCAGCAAAGGATTTTAAGATACGGAAAGAGGAGAAATCAAAGAATTAGTCGGGAATCGCGATCGTAAAATGACAAACGGAGAATAGGATTGTCTAATAATGCCAGCGAATGCTGAAAGCAGTGATAATGAAGAAGATAAAAAGCCTTTAACGTACAAGAAGTTAAAAGAATTGTTAAAAAAAGCTCAACTGTAAAATTTTGTATTGGAAATTGATCCAAATGATGAAAGAAGAGGGTACCTTATGAGAGATAATGAAAAGCTTTTGCACTCTTGCCCTGAAACGTTTAATGAATTGCATCAAACGTTATCCCAAGCAAAAATCCCCACTTTTAGGGGTTTATTTAATTTATTTAGCAGTTAATTCTATTTTGAAGTAACCTTTCCTATTGTTCTTGTTTTCAAACCAGGCTTTCTTACCAGAATGAGATTTCAGTTTCGTGCGTTATGCAAAGTAGGGTAGAAAGATACAAGCTGGTGACTGAGTTACTTCAAACACAGCATCTTCTGCTTTTTGGCCACGTTGTTTTAGCTGTTTAAGCTTGTTGTTTTACGACCATGCATATTAATTACCGGTTTGTCTTTGTTGGTGGTACAGCCAAGAGCCAACTATGTGTTAAAATGTCTCTGTGATGCCTATTCTACGATCACTTTCTTTCTTTTCACCATCGACGGAACAGCTGGCCCACTAGGTTAGGTGCTTTTCAGCCTGTTGGATCCTGTCGGTTCTACGATCACTGGGTTTGTCTATGTCCGTCTTGAGTGAACAATATATACTCAAAAAAAAAAAAAAAAGAAAAGAAACTGTATGGACAGCCATCTTCAACTTACCGGAGAAAGCCATTCTGTGGTCCTCAATTAATAGACGGGAGGGTCCATTTGACCTTTATTGAAGGGGACAAAGCGTCAAGGAGCTTCAGACCAATCACAGTACAGACGAGTGACGAAAATTATAGCACATGCTGGCTGAAGTTCTAGGAATATTCTCTATTATTTCAAAATCACACGCTGCATTTTTAGTTCGAAAAAATATCACAAAACAGTATTATGGCCAAAACGCAGCAGAATATGTTGCTGAATTATGTGGAGGAAAATCTCGTTAACGCAGGAATTTAGGACTAAGAAATAGAGATGTGGGATAGATACCATGAAAGCAACGGTAAATAGATAAGAGTAAAATGAATTAAGCTTACTTAAAATCTTTTTAGAAATAAACAGTTTTTAATCATTTAAATTTATAATATGATTATTTTGCTTTGCAATCTAATTGCGAAGCATTTTTTTACTTACTTATTTATTTTTTATGCTTATATTAAAAATGTGTCTTCATGCAATTTATTTTACATTTAATATTAGAAAAATATTTCTTTAAGTCCGAAATTAGAAGGAAAATATTTCTTTCTTAATGTTTCTTCCTTTCTTTTATTTGCTCTTTCTATGAAAATTATTTCTTTCAGGAAAAGAAAAAAAAAAATCTTTAATTCATTACAGTATGCCTGATTGCTGCTGCATTCAGCTATCACATATGCGTCAAAATGTTTTATTTTAAATAATTTATTCTATAATCAACATGATAGAAAATAATTTTTCAATATAAAATATACAGTCAAAAGTCATTAATTCGGACACCCATAATCCAGAATGATCTATAATCCGGACCTCAAAGCTACAAACTTTCTGCGCATGCATCGCGTTTATGAGAGCGCGTAAGACCCTTACGGCTGCGAATATGTTTGTGCGCATGTGCGTTTAATGTGTAACGGAGTTATACGCTAAGCTAAAGTTATCTAATTCAGTTAATGTTGCAGATTGCGTTGTTCCTTAATCTTCGAATTGGATCCGGCTTATTATTTTTGCAGACTGTTTAGAGCAATTTATAAAAAGTAAGCTTGAACTTTCTATTATGTCAAATAGAATTTCCGATATATATTTACTACAAAGCGAAAGTATGTTTTGAAATCCGAAATCTGTTTATCAATTTCACGCTGCTCTGCGGCAGGGGGGGGCAGAAACGTCATTATTAGATTATGATAGATTAGAAAGATTATGTCAAATAGAATTTCCGATATATATTTACTAACATGTAATTTGTATCTACAAAGCGAAAGTATGTTTTGAAATCCGAAATCTGTTTATCAATTTCACGCAGCGGATTGGAAGTTAATCTGTCAGCACTATCCTTGTCTTCAGGGCAGATGTTTTTATTTTATTTGGTTTATAATTCCGTACTAAGTGTAGTATTTCATCTCGATGTACTTCGTCTTTGATATGATTTAAATCAAGTTCCTCGTCATTATAATTCGCTTCCGATAGTGAAGAAAGTGACCCAGAGGTTATTGAAAACGAAATCATTTCGATTGACAAATTAGTCGGTATTCTCAACACGGCAATTATAGGACTTGAACAGCGGAACTTTGTAACTAAACAAGAAATTATGTCCGTTTAATAGAATTAAAGAGAAAGTATTATCACATGAAACGAAGCAACTTACATTGAAGGAAATGTTTAATAAAGTAAACAAATAAATATTAAGCTTTTTCTTTTTGTAAATTTTGATACCCTTTAGATCATAATTGTTCTTTATTTCATAAATTACGGTTTCATATTTTTAATTTTGTAATTTCTGCATGCCATCTTACCAGATTTAAACTGATGATCGATAATCCGGAATCGCCAAAGTCCCGAGGAGTCCGGATTAACGACTTTTGACTGTATAACCAAAATTATGATAATCTATTCTGTATGTGTGATTAATTCGTATTACAAATTTTGTCGTGCGTATATTAGTAATAATTTTTTTAATATTAGGTTGCTGTTATTTTAATTTCTTATATATATATATATATAATTATATATATATATAATTGCTTATTTTAAATATTTTTCCTTCTTAAAAGATTTTATACTGTTAAAGTAATTAAAAGATAGTAATGTTTTTTTCACAATGAAAGTACTAAAGTGAAAATTATCAGTGTGTGTCTTCTGTAGTTGAAGAAGTTTTTGTCAAACCAGCATTTTAACACTTTTACACATTAAATAGAAAACTATAATAATAATCGATATCTCTTTTACAATAGAAGAATGAGAACTCTGCTATAAACAGTTAATTCTTGAACGTGGTTTTTATATATATATATATATATATA